GGGAGGCGGGTCCCCTGGGCCTCACCCTAGATCGGCAGGTTCCACTGATAAGCCTTACCGAGTGCCAAGTTGAGCCTGCAGTAAGCTCTGATTTCTCCAGTAGGATCACATCTTTCATTCCACCTTTGGCCAAGTGATAAGCAATACTGGTGCCCAATGCTCCTCCGCCGATAACAACAGCTTCGGCATTCTCTTTAAGACGTTTGTTCAGCGGTTTTTGGCTATTACTAAAAAGTATAGATGAATAAATAATCTCGAAGATTTCCGAAGATAACCGAAGATTTCCGAGGAAGAACCGATGATGTTTCGATCATACAGCAACACATCTAAGTACTTTTACAGGGATTATGTAACCATAGCAATGATGATCTTTTCAGTTGTGAAAATAACATTATTTTCAGGTGTGAAATAACATGTTATATTCACGTGTGAAGATATCATGTTTACGCGCGAAATCTCACCTGGTATTTCACTGGTGTCTATATAACAAAACACTATAACTTGTTCTTGTTACATTGATGGTAGCGACGGCCCTGCCGTTACGCGTCACGTAATCATCGATATGTTTTGCCTACCCTCAAGTGATCGTTCTTTGGAGAACAATATCTCAAACGGTGAATCAATATTTCATCTAAGGATCTTAATTATTAAACAAAATCTCACTGAGCCAGAACACGCTGAACATAAAAACGCAAACACACTGTACACACTATACGGGTTAAAGTCGCAGGGTTTAACTACGTACACCATAGCTTTACATTATAAGGGTAACGGGGTAAAGCAGTTCAATATGACACATGATAGAGTCGTGCTCATTTCACCTTGAGTCATGAGAACTTGAGAAGATGTGACCGTTCGATAGAACTCTTGAATCAACGTTCATCAATTTTCGTATCTTCGAGGCAGCACCACAACTATGAGATATTCCACTCCATCTCCACCGAGAGTGCAGCAAGCACGACATTTTAGTATACAACAGTATGCAAATTGTACCTGTCCAGTAATAATTATTCAGAATTATTGAAAATTCAGAGAACGTTTCTTGCCGTACAAATTGCCGATCAGCGATATTGAACTCCTCTGTGTTGGGAAAATCAGATCATCTCCTCCAGAGGCAAACCCATTCTCGAGTCATTTTGCGCTCTTAGTTCCCGTTTGACCGGTTTCAATACTGGATTACAGTTGTTGTTGTGTTTGCTTTTTTGGCGCGTGTTGTCACGAAATGTTTCAAGCGACTTGTTCAATCATGAATTTACAAAATTGTCACGAAATGTTTCGCGTGACTTGTCCCATCATGTTATTCAAAATTACGTTTAAAACAAATAAAAAAAATATTTGGGATAGTTTACTAAAACAGCAGAAACAACAGAAATGATTCACACTGGGTAAGTTTTTCAAGACGTCCCATGCATGACTTTGCAATTCATTACAGCAGTTGAAAGATTGCATTATCTCTATTGTTGTCTCGATCGCGCTCGGTCGTGACGACAAATGAGTCAAGCTTTGGAAAGGGAAATTTTCCTTGATATCTTCACACACATTCTGTTTAGAACGAATTGCACTTGCAATAAATACAATGAC